CTTTGCGGCTGGGAGCGGAGGGGTGATGAGAGGAGAGAGGAGAGAGAGGAGAGAGAAGGCAAGAGAAAGGAGGGAGGAGAGGAGAAAGGAGGGAGGAGAGAAGAGAGAAGAGAGAGGAGAGAGATTAGAGAAGGGAGAAGAGAGAAGAAAGGAAGGGGAAGGGAGGACAGAAGAGATACAAGAAAGGAAGGGGAAGGGAGGAGAGAAGAGATACAAGAAAGGAGGGAAGGGGAGGAGAGAGGAGGGAGTAAAGAGGGAGAGTGGAGAGGCAGGTTTGACCCCCATCCCTCCGGCCCCCCCCCCCCCTTCTACAGGAGAGGGCTGGTTCTCCTCCAAAGACTTTTAATTTCTACGTGACGTCGCGTGACCTTGTCGGAGCTTAATTCACTCTCATTTTTCAATGCTATTATTTCATGACATTTTTTTTTTAAAGTGCCAAGAAGGTAGGTGGACCAATAGGTGTGTGTGTGGGGGGGGGGGGAGGTGAAAGCAGAAACAAATATTCAGATATACGATGAAGAATTTTACTAATCCAAAATACTAATAGACATTGAAAAATTAGGAAAAAGAGCTGATGAAATATGGATATGACATAGAAAGAATGTGCAACAGATTTACTACAGTGAAGATTCCTTTGTCTGTCCATCTGCCTGTCACTTTGATAGAACTTAGAACAGGCACCGCTTCCTTTGTACCTTCGTGAGGGAGAGGGAGGGGGGGTGAAGAGGGAGGGGGAGATGGAAAGGGAGGGAGAGAAAGAGGGAGAAGGAGGAGGGGAGGGAGAGGGGAGGGGAGGGGAGGGGAGGGGAAGGGAGAGGGGAGGAGAGGGGAGAGAGAGGGAGGGAGGGAGAGAGAGAGAGAGAGAGAGAGGGGGGGGGGGCAATTACCAGAATCAAATAATGATAAAATATAAAAAATAAATAACACCTCCTGCACCTCCTTTTCCATTCTCGTGTTTACCATCTTCTTTATCCATTATCCTTGTCCGTTCTTTTTACCATCTTCTTTATCCATTACCCGTGTTCGTTCTTTCTTCAACTTTCTCATCCTGTACCTATTGCATCTTGAAATACGTGAGTGCAGCTGTCATGTCACTTCAGGCGCATCCTTGTCATGCGATAGCTAATCGCGGTTGACATCTGACGACCCACGGCCAGAGTGACGCGAGAGAAAAAGGGGAACGAAAATATGTGATGATAAATTTGTAAATGGAAAAAAAAACATTACTTCTATAAAACCCGTTGTAGAAAGGGTTTATAGGAAAGTATCTGATGCCTGACGATTAATTATTGATGATTTGTTAAGATTCGTGTTTGAACAAGTCGGAAACAAAACGACGAAGGAAGGAACAAGAAAACACGAGAATATGTCTAAGGCCTTTTCAGTGTATTGCTTCATCAAGGCACGGGTGATGATAGTAATGACGACTTATGATGATGAAGTTGGTTGTGATAATGACAATGACGATGCTGCTGCTGATGGTCATGTTGAAAGGGAAGAGGAGGAGAAGGAGAAAAGGGAGGGAAAGAAAGGATCCTCACCTTTCTATACTTCATCAAAACTTTCATGCTTTGCCCCTCCCTCCTCTCACTCACTCTCTCTCTCTCTCTCTCTCTCTCTCTCTCTCTCTCTCTCTCTCTCTCTCTCTCTCTCTCTCTCTCTCTCTCTCTCTCTCTTTCCTTATCTATGCCACCATCAACACTCAAGCACGTGTCCACTTTTTCCATAACTTTTTATCGTCTCTTTAAAAACTACAGTTCCCCCACAAATATTTCAATACCTCACACTCTACCCATCTGTACCTAGAACAGTTGATACAATCCACGATTTACATAAACATTCCTAAAAAAATAAGCAACACTCAAAGTGATACCAAATTAATATTAATACCCACCACTCCCACCAATGATGAAAGACTAAGAAATAACACCAATGCCTACTAATGAGCATAGACAAAACAATAGCTTTCGGCATAATAATTACCAGGCCGAGCACGCAAACAGGGAAACTGGCACGGACCTACTTGCGTGCCAATTCAATTCCCGAGCAAGGCAAATCACTGATGAATTCAGGCGATGATGTTAATTCGCGCGCAGATTAACGGATCCGGAATTTCGCGACCCATATCTCTTAAAGGTGTGCGAATCATGACACTTTTCAACAAGGAGAAGCGAGGGCGTCTTAAGTGTGTCGTCTGTTTGAGGCTTTCCGTTTGTCTGTCTGTCTCTTTTCAGACCCGAACCGTCTTTCTTTCATTCTATCTACTGATCTCAGCAATTTAGAAACAGGGCGATTTCAATTTTATTTATTATTCAGTTATTTATGTACCTGAATAAAACAGACACTGGATGGGCGGGAATGGAGAGAAGGGGAGGCACTAGGTCGAAAAGAGAGAAATATAGAAAGAAAGAAAGAAAGAAAGAAAGAAAGAGAGAGTGAGTGAGTAAGAGAGAGAGAGAGAGAGAGAGAGAGAGAGAGAGAGAGAGAGAGAGA